CTGGTCAACCAAGGATAGGATAGGTGGAGCACGTAGCAAATATGAAGGAGATAAGAAGTGCATACGAAGGCCTGGACAGAAAGAAGGATGATATTAAAACAGATCTTAGGAGAAGTAGATTACATTGGTACATTACAGTGGTAAACACAGTGATAAGACTTATGACTCAATAAAAAGTGGGGAATTTCTTGATTAGCTAGACGTACTATTAATTTCTCATGGAATCCCTCCACGGATTTGAAACAAATGCAGATAGTATAGACTATTATAATTCAGTTCAAATTATGATTCAACGATACAATTACTACTGCACAAATTAATTAGAAATAATACATTTGTTTCTTTTACTCTCAATTATTTCTCAATCAACTTATTTGTTTCCTAATTCGTTCAAAGCACCAAAGTGTGAGACACGTTTGGTCAGGCTTCGTAACATGAGACGCGCATTGTTTACGCTACACACAGTTATGCAGTTCAGATATGAAGATCACAGTTTGTATTTGACATTTCCTCTCTCGTTGTCGGAACCAATCAAGGCTCGGCTGTGTAAACTGGGTGGAAAGGAAACACCAGTAATCATAGAACACAAACATATACATATAACAAGCAAACAAACAAATGCACTGTCGCACTGTCTATTGTTTGCTGACAGATTCAAGTAACGAAGGCTACCGACATGATTGAGCAAAAATGGACTAAGCGCATCACTGCGCATAAAATATCTGTAGAAACAAAGTTCCCGCTGATGCTTCGCTACTTAAACAGCTTCAACACCAAGTCGGTTCAGGCACGTTGAGAATAGTGTGTCTGATCGCGTAACATGACAAATATTTCACTACCAACACAACTATTCTGAAGTTCCTGGGTGTTCGTCAGTTCAACTCAGATGAGTTTCCTGCAATTAAAATCATCAAGAACTTTTACCCTCGGTAACAAGTAATATAATATGTTCACGAAATCAAATAAATCATCACAATTTTCATAAAATCCCGTCAATGGAGCCTATATTAAGCCAGTGGAATTCAGTACATAGCATCAGATCACATTTCCCTGACACCCATTAAAATCCTTTCACAAATGTCTAGGTCTCTAAAAACAGACTTGCGATATTCCGATCAACAGTTTCCCTTTCCTGAATGCGTGCTACATGTTTCACCCACCTCATATTTCTTGAGTTAACCGCTAGATAAAGACGTAAATTATGAAACTGAACATTATACAATTCTCTCCTGCTTTCTAGTACTTTCTAGATTCCCTTGTCGACCGTAAACAACTGCTTTTGCGTCATCTGTGCATCTACGCTCCACTAACTGCGGGGAAGTTTACTCCAACCCCAATCTGACAAAGTGTCATGCCGTGATGACAAGGGAGCCACTTAGCATGGTTTATTAAATTTCATTCATAATAAACGCGACCTTTATGTCCCTTTAGCACTGAAATATCTCATACTAACAATACAGTAGCAGGTGCATACATTGACAACTGTCCCATCCTCATCAGGAACGAGGTTTGTGTTTATCTTGCACTATGTCCCTCCCCCTCCTGCCCCCTCTGCAAACTAAACCACTGTTCAAAACTATCAGGTCGAACCGGCCAACCAGCATGGTTCACTGCAGTTCTCTGTTTTAACTGTTATTGTAGGTCTGCATATCATGAAATGACGCACTGGAATGATTTTTTTTAAAAAAGGGAACATTGCTTAATTTGAAATCCTGTCCCGATATTTGTTGGAAAGACTGATAAATACCATGAAGCCTTCAGTCAACATGTCGGTCCCTCGAACCAAAATACTAACCTAGAATCACCGAGATATTTACTGCAAGAAACAATCATATTGTAGTACAACTTGCAACATTTGTTGTCAATCATATCACCTTAAAACAGTCACTGTTTCAACACTGTAAATTAACACCACTGTGAACTCCACGAACCATGGACACCACAGAGAACAGCTACATCTCCGAGCGTCGACGTCTCTTTGACACATCGATCAAACGTTACTATATTCGAGTATTGATTGCTGCTTCCACTCTGTATGATTACCACACATACGTTTCTTGCATAACGTAGCAAAAAGTGACGTCATAACAGAAAATGGTGGTAAAAAAATTGGTGTTTTTGAGAATCAACCACGTGTGAGATATAATGAGCCCATTGACAGCTAGACGGACAGAGAGACAGAAGAGAAGTGACGTCAAACTGTCTCAACGCCGGCATAAGTCTCTGTGGGTACGACAGCTTCCTTTATGCAAGAGGCTTATCGGTTTACGACTAACACTCGTGTAGTTATTTGGGATTTGTAGAACACTCACCATCTGAAGGTATAATGCTTGTCAGAGGGCAATGTTAATTACTCGAAAGGTCGACAATTCAAAAGAGATAGAACATGTATGGAAATGAGCAAATGCCTACAGTTCTTAGTCACTTATATCTTGAACATTAGCAGAAGTGGATTATTTAGTTTTGACAATTTCATGGTAATTTATAGTCTATTTTGTGAGATGCTCTAAATCTTTAGCTAAATAGTATGGAGAATGTGTACTATCCTAAAAAGGACATTATTTTCCTCGTTCTTCAACCAGTAAATCTGGCTTCACACGTGAGGGCCCAATAAAAGAAACAGCCTTTAACATCTGCAGTGCTTTCTTAACTCTGGGTGCTGTGTATTTTGCAGAGGTAAATCCCGTACAGGCGTTGAGGAAGAAAAACTTCACAACCTTGATACCACAAACTGAGATTCTCCATTCCTCATGTAAAGATGTCGCTTCGGATAAGCATCACGTGGTGAAGGCGTAAAATACGAAGAGGGGCAATACTCCACCTATTCTCAAGTGGACGGAAATGAGACAAGTTCATCATCGCGAGGAAAGGGCCATTGATGCACACTACACACGAGGCTTGAAGGCCCCCAAAAATTTTCTACTCTTTGTGAATAGAACGTTTATCAATGCTCTCTCTTAATATGAATCAGGTCCGCGCGTTCTAACAGTAAGTAATTAACTTATTCTGATAGATGTAATGGATTACAAACAAGCTCAAGTGATGTTCTGTGTTGTTTCTATTTGTATAAAATACATCGTTGGACGGGTCGTCGCGCACTTCCGACAGTATTTATCGTCGTCTCTGGTTTTGTCCAAAGTAAAACCTGAGATTAATGCTACTCGCATGCCTAATCCCCACACCACGAAGTGCTAAGAGAAATGTGGAGGACAGAACAACAAATGACGTCCCTGAACATGAAGCGAGTGGCAAAAGTTCTCGTTCCGATCGCATTTAATTCAGGGTTTATGTAATAATATTAACAGTATCAATTATGACTGAGAGTTGTTAGAATATTGACTGTCTAGCACATAATTAAACTTGTAATAACGAGTAACATGTCAATAAGGACATGTGTACATGTGTTTCAGACACATCATCAGGTGGTAGGGAAATTTATATAACTACACCTTCTATTATGCGGTCCACTTAATATTTGTTATTATGAGTGTCTTATGGAACATTGCTGAGGAGAATATTTGGACCTAAGAGGGGAGAATAAAGAAAGAATGAATAAAATTACATTATGAGGATCTTTATATATGTTACACTACACAAAATATTATTAAGATCACCAACTCAAAGAATGTAAGATGTACGGGACATGTAGAATGCTTATTATTATTTAGTGTTCTGTCTGACGACAGGTCCATATGAACAGGATCCTTCCATTCTTTTCTCGGACTGAGACCTGTTCATATATGTTCTTGGCAGATGATCCAGAAGTGGTTTGCCATTGCCTTCTTCTGTGTGTGAATGGAGTAATTGTTGGAATGCCACGGAGAAACCGGGGAAGCCCCCGGAGGAAAACTCCGTGTTGCCTAGACCACGGCCTTGCCCAACACAAGTTATAAATTCGGGCACCGCCGGGAAATGAACCCGAGACAGGAGAGATTAAAAATGCATACAAATTTTGGTCGTAGAGCCAGAAAGAAACAGAAAGCGAGAAACATATGGTCTCAGATGGAGCGTAATACTGACACGGATCTTATAGATACGCTTTGTAGGATAGGATTCATTTGACTCAGGTCTAGTTTCTAGGTCCTGTAGACACAAGAAATCTTTGGGTTCCACAAAAGGAAGGAGAGAATGTCTCTGTTTTGTGAAGTTAGGATAGAAGTCTGGGTCAAACCTAGCGAAGAGTGCTATCTATGCCTCTGCTGGTAACTGAGCTCTGTCTATCCAGCCTGCAGGAGATGGAGATAAAGTTCAAGGTCGTGGTTTGCGCAGAGCACATTTCGCTCGCGTGGTCTGAAGCTTAGGCAGGATGCCAGTTCCCTGTGAGCTGATGGAGACCTCGCTGACTCCTCATTACCATAGCAAGCGGGGAACCCATTGCCCCTCCTTCCCCTTCCCCACAGAATCACCCATAACCCTTCCTTTCCACGGGGCTGTGATTTATCTGAGTGGTGATTACCATGAGAAAGCGGGCAAAAGGGATGGATCGCGAAAGAGAGACAAGTCAGAGAAAAGACGTAAAAGACAGCGATGAAGGAAGTATACTCGCAAGGGGGAAAGTGGC